CACACACACACACACACACACACACACACGGAAGAGTTGTTCTAAAACCCCGTTTTAGGGATTTTTATATACTTGTTGTACCAACTTGTAGACCGTCGTCCAGGACTTCCATGCTTGCCTGGTTAACTCATGGATTTTTGTAGTCGGAAGTCACTTTATTTTCATACGTATTATTGTTCAAAGATATGAGTATGTTATGTAAAATAAACGATAACACACGCAATCAAAGTGCGTTTTTTTCTTTGACAGATATCTAGGCTAAGTAATTGACTTGAACTCGGTCAAGTTCAGTACATGTGCACGATCTTCAACCAGTAAATGTACAAACGGTTTCTTCAAACCATGTTTAAGCTCGATCAGTACGTTAGAAACGTGCATATTTTATTCCTGACTAAGAAAAAGACAACCAAGATAAAAGACAAAAGCTATAACATAAAGTAATCCTGAGTTTTGCAAAGTAGATAATAATTTTAAAAGTTTATGAAGAAGTATAGATTCAATTGTGTTAACAACCATGCTGCCGATTAAAATATTTTGACGCTGTAAAACCTGTCCCTTAAGGGTCTCTGGATAATATAAGAAAGGTACTTGTGCTACGTGCATCATTCCTGTAAAATATCATGGCACGCCAAAATGGGCAAGCCCACCTCTCCACCCACAATAAGACAATGGCACAGCTTCTGTGAAATGATGATTACGATATTTTCACATTTTAAAAAAATCTCAATTTTGAATATGGATTAAATTGGTACCCTAGAAGGGACCTTGCGCTATCAAGGCGGAGGGAGTGTGGCCGTGGTCCACTGCCTCCTCCCTTGTTTCAGAGATAACTTCTCCCCCGCCCCCCCCCCCCCAAAAAAAATAATAATAATCAATTATAAGTTGTATAAACAGCAAATATGCAGTGGTCGTAATGAAATATTTTTATGCCTACGGATTTTCTTGGTTAACGTCGGTGGTGGTGACACATTCCTCCTGATTCTGGTCCGTTGTTCTGTATATAATAATGATATATATATAAAACCAAATAAAGAAATAATACCGAGAGAAACAAACAAAGGGCATTTTGCCACGCATATTACATGTACTTCTTTATTTTAAACCAACAGCCAAATAAACAAAAATAAAATAAATGTAGCAACAAAAAGTTCAGTGCCTCATCCACCTGAACCGTTGACGTCAATATGAAAATGGGATTTTACCTAATACAGAGAGAAGCGGTTAAATGTGCATTTTGATACCAACCTTCCATTTATCACCGTGTCGAAAGCGGCCATGGTCTGAGACAGGGGCTTTCCCAGGGTCTCTGGCAGCAACATTGCCAGCCCTCCGGCAGTCACGGAACACAACCCAATTACTATGAACGGCAGCGGCTTGTAGACAGTTTCCAAGAGGAGAATCTGAGGGGCCAAAAGACCACCTAACCGTCCAATAGAGGAATGGAAGCTTAAGCTGACGTGCCTGAGAAAAAATAATCCAATGTGATTTATCAATATGATAATGACAACTAACTAAAACGGCAAAAAACATTCTTCTCGACTTAAGCTTAGATTGCATGTTCCGCGTTTGCCGTACTTTGATATCGTATACGATTTTTCATGCGATTGTTCTGGCATCAGAAATGGATACGGGGTTACGTGCAGGTGTCAGGCCCTTCCGAAAATTCGGTTTGTATGTAGAAAAGTGATAGTACGAAGATACCATTTCAGTCTCATTGCAGTTGCCGTACCCCTTCCGTGCGAATTTTCCAAGATCGATACTCATCGAAATTCATGCAAGTGAATAACTGAAAGTTTTAAACATTTTCCTGTGGTTATGCCTCTCTAAACCACCAAAGTTGAAAGGAAAAGAGACCAACAGCAGGTTCAAACATTATTGCAAGTTTATAAAACATTGCCTATACGGGACTGCGCATCTACGATAATGCTACGGCCTGTGGGCTTACGGGTTTCAAAAGTTGTCAAACGTTTTAGCTTGACAAAATCGTAGAGGCTACGGAGGCCGTAAATACGTATAGTACGATTTCGTATGATTTCGCACGGCCACCGTCTACCTCCCACGAAAAGTGATTTACGGGTAGCGTAAGTGCACCGTACGGACATCGCATGGCAAATGTAATCTTGGCTTCAGAGACAAAATAACGAGTGTCATTCTATCTATGGATATATCTGTGGACCTTATAATCAAGTGAATGGGACACCTAAAAACAGGAGGCTGTTGACGTTTCACTGTTGCGTTCTGTTTCCAATTTGTGGCATTTATGCATGAAATGTCTCGCTAATAGTTTTTCCAGTATAAAGACTTCTTTAAACTGTTCTATTTGTGCAAAGGCATCCGCGCGATCCACAGTCTTTTTATGATTGTCTGTGCATTATCAGTCATAGTCCAGAAGATTTGAGAAATGCTCCGATATCCGGGCACCCCATTTAAAGACGCATCATATATATTACACGGGATCACATTTCACATCAGATAGTTCAAAAACACCAGAGGGGACCTCGGGTCGCACTGTTTTCCCCTTAATAAATTCTAGAGGTATCATTGGTGATGACCGAGCATTTTGCAATACGACCATACCTTTTTTGATTGCAGTCAACTGCATACCCTGTAATTGCTTGTAATTTCAGCTCCAAGTAGGGAGAGGAAACTGATTGTGGTGCAGGTATAGTACTACTCATCAATGATATATTATAATTCTGAAAATGACTGGAAGGAACCCTCCAATCACCACCAGGCATCTTTCAAGTTTGACTTTATATTATATTTTTCCAAAGTTGTAGAATGGACGGTTCCGATAAAAAGACAATCTGGACTTCAAATTTTCATATGTCTAAGTTTTCCTTTATATTTGAATCAAAGTTCACCTTAAGTTCACCTTCATAGTATGATCCTGGCATCTACGAAATTTGACTCCATGACTTAGCAAACAATAACGTTCCTGAAGCACACAATAACAACTTCCAAAAATCCATCCGCACTACTGCTTTTCGCAGTTTCAGCTGTAGTCTCTTAAAATCAATTTTGTAAGTATGTTGGAAATTTGGCGAGAACTTGCAATATCTGTTATATCACATTAATGTAAGTATTCACACCAACAAGCAATGTGACCAAATTAAAAGGGCACTATTTCATATTGCGGAAGGTGATGCAACTGACCTTATTACCGTGGGATAGATCTCGCTAGTTACCATATAGATGACAGCAAAGGTTGTGCTTATTGCCATCTTCCCCAGTAAAGCCAGTGTTATAGTTAGCCATTGCAAGTCTGGAATGTAGATGTTAAATAGTAATTAAAGTTGATTGTAATTATAGATAATCAAATATGATTTCCTTTTTTGTAATTGAAATTATACATGTAGGCGAGTTCTGGGCTATTTTAGACAAATGAGACATATCAGAAGGTCTCTCTACACCTCAACGAAGTTTCACTATACTTTTACCTATATCCGGAATTCCGAACACCATTAAAATAAAAAGCAAGTCCCCGAAGCCGAAATAGATGTACGAGGAAACCGCAGTAATATTGTGACAGGAGTGGTAGTCCACTAGGAACCGTAGTCTGTTCCCCATTATTTTGTACAGGTGACATTTGTCCCATACACTAACCGCGATACTCCGACTAACCCTAAACTGTACAAATCATATGGGGCGTTGGGCTTGAATTCTTAGAACTACCTGTCACACCTGTACACTGTAAGACCTACCTTTCGGTATGAGCACAGCAATGATACACGCCAGTCCACCAATTACCATGAAAATGAGCAATATCTTTCGACGCCCTATTGTATCTAAAATGAATAGCGCTAAGAATTGTCCCGGGATATCTGCCAAGCCCATAAGTGCAAAATTGAGGAACAGGCTGCCTCCGAGATCTTGAGTACCATAGGAGAGGCCAAAATATACCAAAGAGTTCACCAACCTGAAAATAGACATGTTTACAAAGCATGTGAAGTCAAAGTCAATCTTAATGTGTGCTTGGGGGCTGGTCTAAAAAAAAACAAAAAAACATTATCCTTAAGATCCAATTTTAATTAAAAACTATTATCTTAGCATAAAGAAATGTTAGATATGATCGGAAAGCATCCTGTAAGATTTTCTTACCAGAGGAAAGCGAGGTTGAGAGTCACTTTAGCCCTGTTCAAGGTTTTCAGTAAATCGACGGGAGTGTGCGTTACCCTCTTCTCCTGGTCTCCCGTCAATAAAAATTCATCGAGTACATCTGGATCCAGTGTGACCTTGTTGACGGCAGCTACTCTTGTAATGATTGCCTTTGCTTCTTCATGTCGACCCTGAGCGAGCAGCCATCGCACCGACTCCGGAAGAACCCTGCGATGAAATCTTATTATAACGCATTTTTGTTAAGACAATTAATATCTTTAATTCTTTTTGTAACCTCTTTTTAAGTATATTTCTGGTCGATTTCCATTTTTTTTATCTTTAGCGTGTTACAGTTCGCATAATGACTGGACCGACTATTCTTTTCTTATTGAAACGCCGTGTCGTACTTGTACATGTACCCCTGTACCTAATTTGTATAACATGTCACCTGATACAGAGAAAAATTAAAGAGTAATACACCTTTTTCAATTTTACCCAAGGTACACAATAATACCTTTTTTAATGCTGTTATACAAATCACTATTCTTACATAAATAATTAAACACCAATAACTTACAACCAAAACAAAGTGAAGAAAACTGCAGGTGAATTTGCCACCAACGCTAGATGGCGCCAGTTGCGTACCAAGTACGCCTCTAGTGCCAGTAATGTGTGTCCTAATCCAAAAAACATTCCGATGATGAGGCCGGCCATACGTCGCTTACTTGTACCTACCAACTCCATTCCTGGAAACAAATGTAATTATGCAAGTCAAAAAGTTAAAAAAATTAAGATTTTTGTGCATTAAAATATCTATTTAAACTGGGTACAATCAAACATAGTTTCGCCTTCTTAGTTGACTTCAAAAGTAACGATAACCTAATATTATACATTTTACTGCACATGGTGCAATTAAGAGACTAGCGTCACATTTTGGAACATGCACCGATTGACGCAAAAACAGGCTGGAACGGTACATAAAGATTCTGCATGTGCCGGTATACGTAAGCAAACTGCATATGATGTCATACGATGCCAGGATTCGAGGTATGATATATAATGAGAAGCGATAAAAATGATTTAAATTCGACAAACGTGGCGGAGAGACCCCTTGTCAAAGCTGCTGTAGGCCTACTGTACATGATTTTTCATTTTTCATTCTAATGTTGGTCATTTTAAGCGCTCACCTAGTGTATAGATAGTTAGGTAAACCAGGGCGTCGCATGATCCTTGGAGAACGTACAAAACAGAAAAAGACAGCATGTCCGGAGCAAACGCCATGCTTATCCCTGTGGCGGCTACAAAGAACTGACCGAACAAAAACACATGTCGTCTGCCAAATCTGAAAATAAAATATAAGACAACAGCTTTTAGAGACCTACACAATGTACATGCAAGCAGGTTAGAGACCCACAGGTACAATACATTTGCTCACATAGAAGCTGATTGAAGGGAAAGTAAGAAACTGCTATTGGATTGTAGTAAAGTAAAGCCCCCTTTACACTGGACGGCGTCCTCTCTGCGTCCTTTGTGAGACCATGAAACTGGCATCGCTGTGATCGTTGCAAAATGAATGCTCAATGATCGGCCAGTTGTCGGCACGTAAAGTATTTTTTTTTTACTCTCAAACGGGGTCGTACTACGGGACGCAGAGAGAACGCCGCCCAGTGTAAATTGGGCTTAAAAGGCTAACATTTTATAAAGACAAAAAAAAAAAAAAAAAGAAAGAAAGAAAATCGCCACCCCCATGCCCCCTTACGTGATAATCTTTGCTCAGCAGTGTTTAATAGTTTTTCCTCAGGTCAGATATCTATCAATGATTTTGTGAAAACTGTCAAACCAAAAAAAAAAAAAAAAAAAAAAAAAAATATATTAACTTGTCTATAGTTTTTGAAGTATTCCAAACTTTTTAAGAAAGAGTACATTTGCGTACATTTGCATAAAGCAAAAAATAAATAAATAAATAAAATAACAGGGATATTGTCCAATTATAGCCATGCAGTTCAATGCAGCATAAATATATACATAGACTTGGATAGAACTTCGTGATCTTGTCCATGAGATAAATTAAGAACGTTAATAAACATGTTTGTGAAAGTGGCGCAGGCGCAGCGAAGCCACCATACAAGTTAACTTGGTGTTACACGCACAACCATACACGCACCCTTGTAAATATACAAGTACCGCACCTTCACTGTACCCTGTCGTTAAATAAACCACATCACTGCATAACTTGTATTGTGCATTCCTACGAGTGTTTGCATTTTAAATCAATACGAACCCTTTTGGAATCGATTGCTTACATGACTTGCAGTTCATATACTGTGTACATGCAGTCATTAGGCATAAATATATGAAGGCTACAGGCATCCCCGACATTGAGAAAGAAAGAGTGTTCATTTTCCTATTCTATTCTAAAATATTTTTCAAAACTTATTGGTTGTGTTGTTTTACCTGTCCGATATCACACCTGACAATAAGAGGGCAAAAAGCTTCCCAGCAAACAGCGCTGACTTGCAAGTGCTCAGTTGCCAAGCATTCCCACAAGACAGGTCAAACTTGAAAAAAGAAATAGAATTTGCATTACTTTGCAGGAACACTGAAACACACCTTCGTAAATAGGTAATAAAACAGGGAACCATCACTGTCTTAGAACAAAAATATAAATAACTGATCGGTTATGTGGCAATTAAACGCTTCGGTCTACCGTTAATTACACACCCAAACTGGAAGAATCTGCTAAAGATATTTTATCAGGGCTCTGTATGTTTTCATAAAATTATGATATACTTCTCGTCTAAATGAAATTATGCAGTGATTTCTGCTAACCTCAGAAACAAGTGTGCTCTTAAACTGTTCCTGGCTATAAATTCTTCCCTCTGGACATGGTTTTGTAGTGATGTTACTTCTCTCCAAATGCAGTGCTCCGAAACTGTGGGAAAAATCAGAGGTTATGTTTTGACCATCTGCTATGCTGTATATTGCCTCCAAACGAGTGTCGTTGTCGTACCTATATAATATACATTGCTCTCTCTCCCCGTCTTTATTTCGAGGTATGGCAATATTTAACAGTTCTTCATGTGAAACGTTTCCATACGCCTGTGTCACCCAGTCTATGTAGTGAGCAGGGACCTTACAATAATGGTCCATCTGAGCACCAAAAAACACAATTCCTAGCATAGCCATTACTGATTGGAAGCCCAGGATACATATCAGGGCGTATCTTCTCTTCTGAAAGGTGCCAAACTCCCCAAGAGTCTTGAGAAGATCGTCGAAGTGCATTGCGATGTCTCTGTGTCCGTCACAACACCTGGCCTCAATCCTAAAGATCGCTAACAAGCGTCGTCTCCTTTGTAGAGCCCAGTCTTTTGATATCTCAAATATACAGACACAATAAATGTGTCAACCGGTAGATCCTCGATCGCTGGCGTTGACACTCCAAGAGGCGAACACATAGTACAGAACATTAACTTTGCTTGCACGTTTTAAGGGTCAGTACGGGTCCTGGGTGATCTTTGGGAAGATGGGATCTTCGAAATAACATCACATGAAAACAAATAGCACACATAGCTGCATGTATCCCTGTGTATAGCCTACATAGAATTTTAAGATGGAAAGAGGTGTTCAATATTGATCATCGGGATACTAGTTAGCTAAACGAAACGAGGCAAAACCAAGCTTTACTTCCATCCCTGGGCACTACCGGTAAATTATCTTAAGGTAAATTATCTTTGTCCACTATCTTACATTAGCCTAGCGCAGCGAGAGTACCTTTACTTCCCATCAAAACCCTGGTCCTGCCTACCCTGTACCAAGGCGACAGATTGACTATTCACAGGATATTCACAGATTTGTCTTTATAGAAATAGACGGTCATTTTACTATCTCTGTTCTCTAGATTTTCCCATTTTTCCCTATATAATCTGCCACCCTGGTAGAGGGTATGTCCTGCCAGTGTAGCTGTTCACCAGGGCTCCGTAACTCGAAAGGATCGCGTGTTGCGAATAGCGATATCACATAGAGGCTACAATGTATTACATGGGGCGAGTATGGGCGAGTTATGGAATCGAGACGCCGGTGCTCGGTCGCAATGTGCGATGCCTTCGAGTTACGGGGCCCAGGTGTACCTGTTATCGACTTCTTGGGTTCCGTCACACACCAGATAAAAATCCCGAAGAACGCTAACTGACCCCCAAATCTCGTTCCCCTTAAAGCCCCGCCTATCCCTTGTTTTCTCCTTCCGTCACCAGTCCGTGCGTACTTCCGAGGTCCGCCATTTTTTATCCCAGAACCAGCCGAGCAAGCCCAGGACAGAGTATGAAAACGTGACGAAGTTTGTTGCTTTTTATCATGTACCCAAAGTACAGTCATGCAAATATGTGGCATGGATGTACCAATAGACCGAGTTCACAGTAAGGTATTAGTTTACATAAAGCACCAACAATCATAAAAGGTCAAGGCGAGGAGACACCAAAGTTGTCTGAGGAAAGGCGACGGTTATGGAAGGCGGCAATAAACAGGAAAGATATCACCTCGGATAGGTATATCAGAAACTTTTTCAAACTGATCAGAAAATTATAATACTTATATCTTCTGAAAGGTAATACAAAAAAAAAAAAAAAACAGATGAATTCTTTTGAAATTTTTAAAATATTCCTACAAGCAACAAAGATATTGAAGTTTTTTAACTGCAAAAATTCACCAAAAGTGTCCACACTTTTCAGCTAAAACCTGTGACCACTGACCAGCAGTGATCACTCAGCTGTAGCTGCAGCTCAAATTGCTTGTGACCAATTAGGGCAATTTGGGCTCTATGTTAATCTAATGACCCGGAAACAAAACCAAATTGGCTTCCGGGCAGATCATGTACTATAAATATTGTGCATCAAATAAACTATAATTCGCATATTCAAAATTTTCAAATTTTTCTCAATTTAGTTTCTAATATGCCTCCAAAAGGCAAGAGAAAGAAGCTTATATTGTAGAAAAAAAGGGAGGAGGAAGAAAAAAAAGGAGAACAGGAAGCAAAACTGACGTACGCCGTCAGTACGTCACCACAAACATGTGAAGCAAGTGTGAAGCAAAACTGACGCAAAAGGACACTACTTTCGCCGTGCGTTGCATTCCCTTCGTAAGTGGTGAGTGTGTGCCTCGTGCGTAGGAAGCAAAACAAACTCAAGGGATGAGTGCAATTTCCACGGCCATCGATCCTTGCAATTAGCTTCCCTGCTTGAAAGGACATCTCAAGTGGCCCTTGCGACTCGCAAGGCAGACTTTCCTCTACCTCTACGACCTCCACGGCCTCCGCAACACCCAAAAAATCGCAGGGGACGTACGATCCTGAAATTCGTGCGTCCGGTTGTGACCGAGGCTTTAGTATGACGTGGTTTGTCTATGTATGAATACACATAATGGCAAGGTTTCCGTGCATATTTGTTAACAAGCGAAACGAGACAAAATCAAGCATCCCAGTGCCTTACTAGCACGTGTTACAGTAAAAATATCATAGACAATAACTGTCTTAAATTTGTCTAGAGAAGTGTGGAAAAATTTTAATCTTTTTGCCCTTGACCCCCTGTCAAAACCCCAATGTCAGTGCAGCTGTAAACCAAAACAATTGCGAATGAAAACATTTACTTCAAATATACCGTGCACAAATTGAATGCCAAATGCTTATAATGACAGCATTAAGATAACGTGGCAAAAATTTAACTTTTGAAATATAATGGAAAGAACCTAAAGGCGTGTAATAGGAACAGGTAAAGTACGGATGAAAACGTGAGGTATTTTCAAATGATACAGGAAAGTAGAAAGATAATCTAAATTATAGATTCTGAAAAAGTTGTGATTTTAAAGGGAATCAGAAAAACAAATGAAGTAGTTATTGTGTTACAGCTAGTATGGTCGTTATCGGTAACTCTTCCTTATCACAAAAGAAATAAAGAGTTAGACTGCATTCCCAGAGATTTAGATCAATCCATCCGGATCGACCTAACTCCCTGGGGGTTCACTCTAAATTGCTGTCAGTCGAGCGCGCACAAAAGGTAATTACCCCCTTACAGCTTTCAGAAGGCGGGACAGACATTTAAGCCTGTTAAGCTGACACCAATCTAGTGAGACTCCCCAGGGGGAAAGATCGATCTTAATATCTATGCGAACGGGGGCTTATACTGTGACAATCTTTTGATATAATACATGTACTGTACTATCTATAGATCTATGCAGGGGCGGATCCAGAGAAATTTTCTGACAGTCTTCCAAATTATTTTTGTTGATTCATCCTCCATTTTTGACCGTCTTCCGACAGAAAAAATCAGACACACGTCAATGTAAACTTTAAAATCTGACCGTCTTCCAGAAGACCCAGAAGACGGCCTAAATCCGCCCCTGCTATGTGTTATTACATGTACATGTGTCTTCTACTGGGCCAGCTTAACAAAGCAGCCGCAGCCCCGTAATTGGTTTTAACTATTAAACCCAAGACCCTAGCCAAATAACGTTCTTCTCACTAGCTTCATTTAACTGTAAGTATGAATCGTATAATAGCTTTTACTTTGTTTTTAATGCAAATGTTATTCTGCTAAATCATTGAAAGTGCAAAAGGACAACTGTCTTATTATTCTGTTGGAGTTTGTTCAAGATCTCGTAATCGCTACAGATCACGCCACTGTTATTTTAAACAGCCTAGGCCCCTAAACAACGTCTTACTTCTTCGTTAATGTCCAATCTCAGACCATCTTCAGCAGTAGAAGCGCCACCAGCACTGTCCTTGTTAGCTGCCCAAATAGTTATATAATTACCAAGGTGTTCTAGAAATACATACGACACCCACAGTAGTTCTAATTGGACGTTTTCAAAGCACGTCTTAAATGGCGGGAATTAAAGTATAATCCATTACGTGAAATTGTGATTAGATATATGACATAAAGGGCATATATAAAATATGTATAGTTTCGTCACTCGGCATGTGGAATATAAAAAACAAGTGCATGTCCCTAATCATAACCTTCTAGAAGACCATTAATTATCAGATTAATACCATACCAATAAACACGAACTCTGTGACCTCATTTTGACTGATTAAAAAAAAAAGATTTCAAGTAACAAAATCGTCACAATTTCTCATTCATTGCACAGAGCGTCTTGAAATTGTGCAAGGGGACATTATGATACGACAGGTAAGATTGTGTCAATTTTCACAGCTAACACAATTCTCAAGAGGGCGACACAGCTAAAACGCAGGGTACTAAACGTGCACTAAATAAGGGCAACTTGTAGGGTTTCTTTTGTATCTTCAGTCAGCGTATCTCTCAATTTGAGGACAATTATGATTCGACACTGTCTCGAGCGGTTCCTCAGCGCCTTTCTTGTCGTCTACCGGTACACACCTTCGTAGATCCTCTCTTGCGATAGAAACGCCATCACCTTCCTTTACAGCGCCACCATTATAAAGTGTCCTGAAATTTTAACGGAATTACTTGTAGACACAATACCTACACAAATATACTAGTAGTATCCTGATTTAATTGCCGTGCTTATAATTTTATTGAAGTTGTTCAGTTTACCTCCCGCTGATCCTCATATCAAAATCCTCCACGGTTTGGCAAAGTGGTCGGTTCAGAGTTTCTGGGACCAACAAGATAAGCAGGCCGGCTAGGATGGAGACCGCCCCTAGGACGACGAAGGGAAGAGGACCCCAGACGCTGCTAAGTAAGAGAACTTGGGGAGCAAGAACCCCACCAACACGTGACATGGCGGAAGAGAACCCGAGACTGAGGTTTCTGGAATGATTGCACGGTAGTAAAAAAAATATCGTTCTATTGCCTTTATATAGTATGTGAATTTATGTAAATATTTTAAACTGAAATGCGTCTTTCAATTTAAACCCTGCATTTATATAGTACATGTATATGTAAGCCCTGAAGTCGTTTGCACCAACTATACAAATGTTTACTATTAGTACGTTTTCTTAGTATGTCATTATTTCAATTGCTTTTATCATTTCTGTCCATCACAGGGAATTGCACGCTAGTAATTAGTAGAAGTTAACCTACCTCATTACTGTGGGGTATATTTCGGCCGTGATGAGATAGATGACGGCAAAGCTTGCTCCTATCCCAATCTTACCGATAACTGCGAAGGTTATTCTGAGCCACTGAAGATCTGGTAAGGAATGAGAATCAGACGAAATTAACGTACATCAACATAATGATAAATGTGTTGGTCGGGTCGACTTTTGTTCCCAATTTACCTACATTTACTACTGTCATTGATTATAATTACCAGTAAAACATTGGATATTCAATAATAATATCGCGGAACTATTACGACACTTGCCATAACAATTAACACGGGTTCATTTACAAATGAACTTAAATGACACACCATTGATTGTGTACTACAGTAGTATTTAATCACACGCACAGCACCCATCTTAAAAGTTAGTTAAAGCGTGTAATTAAAAGATAATACGGAAAATGTCAAGACGAAAAGTTGATAGATAATTTCATTCAAAAGGGGTTCTTCTTTTTGTTGTAAAGATACACATGTTGATTAATTAGGTATAAAGCACGTAAGCAGCAGTTCATGCATTTGGAAAGTGTCTCTCTAACTGTTATCTTCAAAATAAAATTTAATCAAGATTTTTAATGATGCTAACCTGTCGGGAGCACTCCAGACACGATGATTCCGCAGCCAGTAATAGTCAGCAACAGTAGTGACATCTTGCGGCGTCCTATTCTGTCCAATAGCAACAACGCTAAAGCAAAACCGGGAAGTTCAGCAAGACCCAATAGGGCAAAATTAAGATAGATATTCCCGCCTAGGCCTTGGGTGTTTAAGGCAATGCCGTAGTAAACTGCTGTATTGACAATCCTGAGGGGAAAAAAGTCACTTTTAATACCGGACCAGATTAATCGTAATATAATCAAAGCATTTTTTTTTTCAGACTGACTGATGCAGTTATTTGGTTTGTACAACGTATGGTCAAATTATAGGTTGAGTAAAAAGTTCTACATAAATATATTTCAACTTTGAATATTTTCCATACTGTAAACTGCCCAATCTTACCAATTAAAACTGATGTTCAACGTGATCTTTGCCCTATCCCACGTCCGAAACATGTCTATTGGCGTGTGAAGGGTGGTATGCATTTCCGACTTTTCCTCAAATAATTTCTCCAAGATTCCTTGCTCAAGTTCTACTTTGTTTACTTTGGCCACTTTGTTGATGATAACCTCTGCTTCTTGGTTTCTGCCTTGCGACAACAGCCACCGAACCGATTCCGGGCAAACACTAGCAAAAGATGAAAATAATGAACAGGAAATAGTAGATAATAATGAAACCATTTGATCCTTGCAATTGGTGAGTACAGGTAACATATTTGATGCTGTTGGTGAAGAATAAGTAAATTACAGTTCTCTGTTGATATTCCACTGTCACGAAATCAATTGAACATTTGTTTTCAATCTCTCATTGTTGCATTTTCACATCAAGAGTACAAGGTTTCGACGGAATCTCAAAGAATATGTACATGATCGTACATAAACATGAATTTAAGACTTAAGTAGTTTGTAACACTGCCATTATATTGAAACCATACAGCGATCGATCATCAGTTACAAAATTAACGCATGCGCAAATCGACCATTTAGGTTTTATTTTGTCCATCAGGACTCTGTCATAAACGTGCACAGGTGCAGAATACTCAGTCAACCAAAGAATTTATCACCAACTAAGCTTCTTAAATTCTATATTCTGCATTTTTATCTAGCAAATAATATATTCATTTTAACGTTTGCTTAAGAAATGATATCATCGCAATGCAATTCACAAAACAGCNTGTAGTCGCAATGCATTTCACAAAACAGCACATCGTTACGGTACTTACAAGTAATAAAGGCAGAAGAGCAACCCAGGTAAATTTATAACCAGTGTCAGGTATCGCCAATCTCGCACAAAATATGCATATAGAGACAGTAAGCAGTATCCAATACTGTAAGATGCCATGTTACCAAAACCTGCCAGCCTTCTTTTACTTTTGCCTACAAATTCCATTCCTAGAAAAAACAATTATCAGTTTTATAATTTTCTCATCAAAATTTCCTCCAACAAGAGAACAATATATATATATATATATATATATATATATATATATATATATATATATATATATAAAGTGCGTAAAGAAAGTAAGAAAGTTATTTTCCACCACAGTATAAAAGGGAAATATCAGGCAGGGTAACTGAAGTTTTATATGGTCTCAAACAGACTGAAAGTTATCGTTTATGTTTCAAAGACTATTGGAAACGTGTCCAGCATTCAGGGAAAGCAATGGCTAACTTAGATGGACATTCACTTGTGTAATGTTTTGGTTATGTAATTGTTATACGCTTAAACCTTTCAATTTCGACATTTACTCGAGCTGTACCTAACAAAGCTTACAATGTCACAGTAACACACACTGAGGAAGGCCACAGTATAGTGATTGAAAGCTTTGCTAGCTACAGCTCAAGTAGGTGTAAAAAATAAAAAGTTTAAGTGTTTAAGATGATGCTCAATTAAGATTGAAGGTTACCAAACTGCATTCAAAAATTTACAGTGAAAATGATTTAAAACTCTTATGTTGCACTACAAAGGTCTAATCCTGTGCCGTTCTGTCTGAACTTACCTATTGTGTAGGAAGTCAAAAATACGGTTACTTCACACATCCACAGCACGGTGTACATGGCTGTGTAGACGATGATATTAGGGGACAACATCATAAAGGTTCCGAGTAGACTTTGTGCGCACACCGCTGTTATGAAAACGGGTATCCGGCCAAACCTTGAATGAAAAAGAATTCAAACAAATGGAAAGGTTTTTTAAAATGCACAACTCTGAACGCTTTGTTGGATGCTAAGTCATGAAAAGTGAAAATGTTTATTTATTTTTTAACCTGGTGAATTTGTCCTTGTTATACAGATATATCATTTCTATGAATGTAAGTTAACGTAAAATACTAAGAAACAATCTGTATCATATACTGTCGTTTTTTTTTTTTTGTATTTACATGTACTGCAACTATATTTTTACAAGTATAAAAGTATCTACATCAAATTGTTTTGTTTTGTTTTTTTCTTTGTCAGAATGTATGCAGGTATTATAATATCTGCCGGTTTTTATACATGTAGTGACATATACTGCAATTATACTTTTTACATATATTGAAATATCTACACCAAATTGTTTTATTTTCAGAATGAATGCTGGTTTTAAAATATCTGTCGTTTTTGAATTTACATGTACTGCAACTACACTTTTTACATGTATTAAAATAACTACACTAAATTGTTTTTTTCTCAATATATCCTGAAAAATGTTTACACGGATATCTACCCGTACTGTTTACCTATCGGATAGGATCCCAGAAAGAACGGAACCAACAAGTTTTCCCAAGAAAAGTATAGATTTACATGTACTGAGAATAACCTTGTTTTCACATACCAGGTCGAACTGTAAAATAAAAGGTTTTAAGTTAGTTAAGTTAGAGAAAAAAACGCAAAATGTCATATTTTGAGGAACGGGATAATACTGTACAAGAATGAAATTATATATAACGCTATTTTTTTTCACAAACGTTGTCATCATTGTTGAAGATGTTGTATATATGTCACAAACATGACTGAAACCCGGCAAATTTAAAATCTGTCTAGGCCAGTCTGAAATCCAAAGTCTAAGACAATTTTCCATTATGATCCGATTATTTGCACCCCCAATAAAGCCCTTTTCATCAACTACAGAATATATGTTTAAAACAACCTTTACGAATCATCTTGCACATGGGGGATTGCAAAATTTTTATTATTATTTTGCCTCACATAGGTTCTTTTGGACGTCTGCTTTTGCTTTTCGATATGCACCAGGCTAATTTCAAAGCTGCATAAGCAAGATTGCAATTTCAATCCTTTCTGGAATATTGGTTATTGCATAGCGTTTATGGCTAAAAATGAAAGTTTCAAATTAAGCAGCTGACCTGTAAAAGTCATGTGACTTTTGGAATTTCTTTACTATAATTTTTTTATGTATCTTACGTACATCAGACACAATGGTTGCCGTGAATTCCTCTTGGCTGTACACTCGTCCTTCGGGACAGGCTACTTCACTCATATTTCCCTTCACCAATCCTACCGTTATATTTCTATCATCCCTAGTACCGTTATTTACAGAGTAGGCATCACTTCCAAAAAAGTCTAGATTTTCAGTCCAGCTCTGGTAGTCATATATTTTGCAACTACTTCGGTGAAGTGTCCCATCATCGTCTTGTATCCACGGTATTGTGAGGTTTAACAATTCGTCCTGTGTCACATTGCCATAGTTCAGGTTCAGGTAGTCAACGTAAGCGTCTGGCACCTTGCAGTGATGTTCCGGCACGGCGCTGGTAAATACTATCATCAATTGCAGAGTATTTGCCAGGGCCACGGCACATATTAGGAGGTACTGGCGTTTCTGGTAGGTCCCAAACTCTCCAAGTATTACCAGGAGATCGTCGTAATGCATTGTTCACTTTGCATTGTTGAGTGGCCTAAGTCTTCGTACATGTAGGTCTAACAACCCTGAAAGATATGAATTCGTAAAACATTGGTTTCAGAATCAATTCATTTCATTACATGAGTCGACTTGAATTCATAATGCACTGTCAATTAACGGGCCTCTTTCTGGATACGGTTTAACTATTGCAATACCCTTTATGCAGTAGGCCCTACATGTATACCCAGACTGTTTAAATGGGGTTACGCAATATATTATTGCTGCCATAAAAGGACATCTAAGACAAATATATCGCATTTTTTTTACCTCATACATTAATGCATATACACTCATGTAATCTTATTGGTGTAGCTATCACATATCGCAAAGTAGATCTTAACTGGCCTTACGAACAGTCCATTTGATGACATCGTTCACCTGTAATATTTAATTACATCAGAAATGGGGAAATATCAAGGGAGTTGATCGCATGAGACGGGAGTATATAGAAAGCCCCGGTATTATGTCTCTTTTACACACAATTAATTTAAGATAATATGTGAAGCAATTAACTACACGTCTTGGCTTTCTTCGTCCCATATGTGACCTATATATATATATATAATACAGGTGCTGAGTTTACGATTGAGTGATCCTTTCGATGCACACTAAGGGTGCTTTCCCAGAGATTTAGATCGATCTAGAGGTTAAGATTTAGAACGACCTGACTCCCTGGGGGTTCACCCTAAATTGCAGTCAGCCGAGGGAGCACCATAGTTAATTACCCCCTTGCAGCTTTTAGTAGGCGGGACAGACGCTTTAGCCGGCCAAGCTGACAGTAATCTAGTGAGACTCTCCGCAGGGATAGATCGATCTAAAAATCNGGCGACGGCGACATGATCGGCGACGACAGACGCAGGTGATGGCAATATGTACAGACACATCTGTGTCTGTACATAAAAAGGTGTAGCCATATTCCTGTGCTTGGACTCTTTAACACTTACCTTATCCTGTATACTGGTATCTGCCCCGTGTTGGAGGAGAAGGTGGACACATTGTGTGTGGCCGTGCCTGGCAGACCAGTGAAGTGATGTCCACCCATCCTGAGAATACATGGACAAACAATGTGAGTAAACACATAATCCATGCCAAAGAATCATGTTTATTTCCACTGGTGTTTAAAGTAATCAGCTATAAAAAAATCGGTAAGCAAAGATTCTCACTGTATGATGTACAGGGTATAAACAATGAGTTTCGACACATGCTTTAAGATAATTAGTTATAACTTGAAAGATCGCTAAGCAGGATATGTAAACATCGCACAATACCTTCTAATGTACTTCGGAAAAGACATGTAGTTATATGCAAGTGTAGTAATATTGCTATGCTTAGACTGTTCTGCACTCACCTTATCCGGTATACTGGTATCCGCCCCATGTTGGAGGAGAAGCTGGACACATTGTGTTCGGCCGTACCTCACAGCCCCGTGAAGTGGTGTCCACCCATCCTGAGAATATGGACAAACAATGTGAGTAAACAGATAATCCATGTTGCAGAATCAAATTTATTTCCACTGGGTGTTAAAGGCAATCAATTATAAACTAAAATCGAATAGCAACAATCTCACTGTGATATATTAACGATATAAACGATGTGATTATGTTAATCTTACACAAAAACTTCTCATGAACTTCAGAAAAGACATAATACATATTGTATGCAAGTGTATCCATATTGCTATGCTAAGAATATTCTACACTCACAATATCCTGTATATTGGTATCCGCACCGTGTTGGAGGAGAAGCTGGACACAATGTGTGTGGCCAAACCTGGCAGCCCAGTGAAGCAGTTTCTCCGCCCCGTGTTGGAGTAGAAGCTCAAAACATTGATAGGTCAAGGCAGCCACGTGAAGTGGTGTCAACCCATGAAGTTATACGCAAGTGTATCCATATTGCTATGCTAAGAATGCTCTACACTCACCTTATCCTGTATACTGGTATCAGCCCCGTGTTGGAGGAGAAGCTTTACACATTGTGTGTGGCCGAGCCCGGCAGTCCAGTGAAGTGGTGTACCCCCACCCTGAGAATATGGACAAACAATGTGAGTAAACACATAATCCATGCCAAAGAATCATGTTTATTTCCACTGGGTGTTTAAAGTAATCAGCTATAAAAAATAGGTAAGCAAAGATTCTCACTGTATGATGTACAGGGTATAAACAATGAGATTCGACACATGCTTTAAGATAATTAGTTATAACTTGAAAGATCGCTAAGCAGGATATGGAAACCTCGCACAATAACTTCTAATGTACATCGGAAGTTATACGCAAGTGTAGCCATATTGCTATGCTAAGAATGCTCTACACTCACCTTAGCCTGTATACTGGTATCCGCCCCGTGTTGGAGGAGAAGCTTGACACATTGTGTGTGGCCGAGCCCGGCAGCCCAGTGAAGTGGTGTACCCCCACCCTGAGAATATGGACAAACAATGTAAGTAAACAGATAATCCATGTTGCAGAATCAAATTTATTTCCACTGGGTGTTTAAAGCAATCAGTTATAAAATAAAATCGAATCGTAAAAAAAAAATCTCACTGTGATAAGATTCGATACATGCTTTAAGACCGTAAGTAATAACTTAAAACAAAGATCGTAAAGCAGAATATGTAAATCTTGCACAAAAACTTCTCATGAACTTCAGAAAAGACATAATGCAGTTGTATGCAAGTGTAGCCATATTTCTATGCTTAGAATATTCTGCACTCACCTTATCCTGTATATTGGTATCTGCCCCGTGTTGGAGGAGAAGCTGAATACATTGTGTGTGGCCAAGGCCGGCAGCCCAGTTAAGTGGTGTCCGCCCATTCTGAAAATATGGACAAACAATGTGAGTAAACAGATAATCCATGTTGCAGAATCAAATTTATTTCCACTGGGTGTTTAAACAAATCATTTATAAACTAAAATCGAATAGAAAAGAATTTCATTGTGGTATGTTAACGATATAAAGGATGTGATTCGATACATATTTTAAGACGTTTACTTGTAACTTATGAGAAAGATCGCTATGCAGAATATGTAAACCATGTACAATAAATTCTAATAAACTTCGAGAAATATATGTAGTTATATGCAAGTGTACCGATATTGTTATGCTTAGAATATTCTACACTAGCCTTATTCTGTATACTGGTTTCTGCCCCGTGTTGGAGGAGAAGCTGGACACATTGTGTGTGGCCCTGGTAGGCAGCCAGGTGAAGTGGTGTTTGGCCATCCTGAGAATATGGACAAACGTTACAATGTGAGTAAACAGATAATCCATGTTACAGAATCAAATTTATTTCCACTGGATGATTAAAGCAATCATTTATAAACTAAAATCGAATAGCAAAAAATCTCACTGTGATATGTTAACGATATAAACAATGTGATTCGATACATATTTTAAGATGATTACTTATAAACTAATGAGAAAGATCGCTATGCAGAATATATAAACCATGCACAATAACTTCTCACTTCGGGAAAGATATGTAGTTAAACACAAGTGTAGCGGTATTCTACACTCACCTTAGCCTGTATACTGGCATTCGCCCTGTGTTGGAGGAGAAGCTGGACACATTGTGTTCGGTCGTACCTCGCAGCCCCGTGAAGTGGTGTCCACCCATCCTTAGAATATGTACAAACAATGTGAGCAAACAGATAATCCATGCCAAAGAACCTTGTTTATTTCCACTGCGTGTTCAAAGTAATCAACTATAAACAAAAAATCGTTAATCAAAGATTCTCACTGTGATTTGAACAGAGTATAAACAATGAGATTCGAGACACGCTTTAGGCAAGGAGTTATAACTCCTTGCTTTAAGACCATTAGTAATAACTTCAAAGAAACATAATAAAGCAGAATATGTAAACCTTGCAAAAAACTTCTCATGAACTTCAGAAAATACATAATGCAGCTGTACGCAAGTGTAGCCATATTGCTTTGCTTAGAACATTCTACACTCACCTCATCCTGTATACTGGTATCCGCCCCGTGTTGGAGGAGAACCTGGACACATTGTGTGTGGTTGTGCCCGGCAGCCCAGTGAAGTGGTGTCCGCCCATCCTGAGAATATGGACAAACAATGTGAGTAAACAGATAGGTCGTGTTGCAGGAAACATGCTTAGATTTCATTCGGAGTTTTAAATTATCAGTTATAAACAAAAATCATTTAGCACAAATTGTGATATGTGCAAGGTATAAACAATGTGATTTGATACATGCTTTAAGATCATTGGTTATAACATGAAAGATCGCTAAGCAGGATATGCAAATCTCGCACAATAAATTCTAATGTACTTTGGAAAAGACATGTAGTTATACGCAAGTGTAGCAATATTGCTACGCTTAGAATATTCTACACTCACCTTATCCTGTATACTGGTATCTGCCCCGTGTTGGAGGAGAAACTGGACACATTGCGTGCGGCCGCGCCAGGCAGCGCAGTGAAGTGATGTCCGCCCATTCTGAAAATATGGACAAACAATGAGAGTAAACAGATAATCCATGCCGTAGAATCATGTTTATTTCCACTGGGTGTTTACAGTAATCAGCTTTAAACAAAAAATTGGTAAGCAATGATCTTCACTGTGATTTGTACAGGGTATAAACAATAAGATTCGATACATGATTTAAGATCATTAGTTATAACTTGAAAGATCGCTAAGCAGGATATGTAAACCTGGCACAATAACTTCTAATGTACATCGGAAAAGACATGTAGTTATACGCAAGTGTAGTAATATTGCTATGCTAAGAATATTCTACACTCACCGTAGGCTGTATACTGGTATCAGACCCGTGTTGGAGGAGAAGCTGAACACATTGTGTGTGGCCGAGCTCGACAGCCCAGCGAAGTGGTGTCCGCCCTTTCTGAGAATATCGACAAACAATGTGAGTAAACAGATAATCCATGTTGCAGAATCAAATTTATTTCCACTGGGTGTTTAAAGCAAACAGTTATAAACCAAAATCGATTAGCAAAAACAAATATCACTGTGATATTTTAGGACGGATTTTAACGACGTGATTCGATACATATTTTAAGATGATTACTGATAATGTAAGAGAAAGATCGCTAAGCAGAATATGTAAACCTTGTACAATAACTTCTAATAAACTTCGAGAAATATAGGTATGTATCAGTAGTTATACGCAAGTGTACCGATATTGTTATGCTTAGAATATTCTACACTCACCTCATCCTGTATACTGGTATCTGCCCCGTGTTGGAGGAGAAGCTGAACACATTGTGTTTGGCCGCACAGGGCAGCCCAGTGAAGTGGTGTGCACCCATTCTGAAAATACGGACAAACAGTGTGAGTAAACAGGCAATTTATGTTTCAGAATCTTGCTTATTTCCGTGGGGGGTTTAAAATTATCAGTTATTAACAAAATCGGTCAGCAGAAATTATCACTATGATATGTATAAACAACGTCGTGTCGAAAAATATGTTTGGGACAATAGGCTAAGAAAAGAATTTATAGTTACCAGTCCCAAATCAAAATTACTAATTGGTAGTAGAAAATGACATATGATAACTGTAATATGTGTATGTATGATGTATGATTGTGGTTGTGTTAGTGTAGAGAAGTGTGTTCGTGCCTTTTCGTTTGTGTCCGTGTGTCTTCGTTTCTATATAAAATACGCCCCTCTTTGTTACGCGGCACATTCGTTTNAAAAAAAAAAAATTGTTGTTCCCTTGTCGTTTTGTAAATGGTGTGGAAACCATTTGTTGTTGGCGGGGGAGGATGTAACATATGTATGTATGATGTATGATTGTGGTTGTAGAGAAGTGTGTTCGTGACTTATCGTTTGTGTCCGTGTGTCTTCGTTTCTATATAAAACACGCCCCTCTTTGTTTCGCGGCACATTCGTTTCTTGTTTCTGCCATGTTCACACACAGGTATGATAGACTTGATTGGTTTACTTTTCATTTTCTTTGTGTTTAGATTTTGTATTTCTATAAGTTTAGTTTGATCATTTAAGTGCTTATCATTTATTTTCATCCTTATTTAGTTTAGAAATTTAGTAAGTATCTTTAGTTCAATTATGTTATTCATTTAATTTTTTCTAAGTTTGTTCAGTTCTGCATTAAGTTCATTTTATTTATTTGTAAATTATTAAAGGACATTCGTTTCTTGTTTCTGCCATGTTCACACACAGAGTACACTCGGGTTCGTAAATAAAGTATATTGAGAGCTGTTACATACTTTTTACATATATTGAAATATCTACACCAAATTGTTTTATTTTCAGAATGAATGCTGGTTTTAAAATATCTGTCGTTTTTAAATTTACATGTACTGCAACTACACTTTTTACATGTATTAAAATAACTACACTAAATTGTTTTTTTCTCAATATATCCTGAAAAATGTTTACACGGATATCTACCCGTACTGTTTACCTATCGGATAGGATCCCAGAAAGAACGGAACCAACAAGTTTTCCCAAGAAAAGTATAGATTTACATGTACTGAGAATAACCTTGTTTTCACATACCAGGTCGAACTGTAAAATAAAAGGTTTTAAGTTAGTTAAGTTAGAGAAAAAAACGCAAAATGTCCTATTTTGAGGAACGGGATAATCCTGTACAAGAATGAAATTATATATAACGCTATTTTTTTTCACAAACGTTGTCATCATTGTTGAAGATGTTGTATATATGTCACAAACATGACTGAAACCCGGCAAATTAAAAATCTGTCTAGGCCAGTCTGAAATCCAAAGTCTAAGACAATTTTCCATTATGATCCGATTATTTGCACCCCCAATAAAGCCCTTTTCATCAACTACAGAATATATGTTTAAAACAACCTTTACGAATCATCTTGCACATGGGGGATTGCAAAATTTTTATTATTATTTTGCCTCACATAGGTTCTTTTGGATGTCTGCTTTTGCTTTTCGATATGCACCAGGCTAATTTCAAAGCTGCATAAGCAAGATTGCAATTTCAATCCTTTCTGGAATATTGGTTATTGCATAGCGTTTATGGCTAAAAATGAAAGTTTCAAATTAAGCAGCTGACCTGTAAAAGTCATGTGACTTTTGGAATTTCTTTACTATAATTTTATATGTATCTTACGTACATCAGACACAATGGTTGCCGTGAATTCCTCTTGGCTGTACACTCGTCCTTCGGGACAGGCTACTTCACTCATATTTCCCTTCACCAATCCTACCGTTATATTTCTATCATCCCTAGTACCATTATTTACAGAGTAAGCACCACTTCCGAAAAAGTCTAGATTTTCAGTCCAGCTCTGGTAGTCATATATTTTGCAACTACTTCGGTGAAGTGTCCCATCATCGTCTTGTATCCACGGTATTGTGAGGTTTAACAATTCGTCCTGTGTCACATTGCCATAGTTCAGGTTCAGGTAGTCAACGTAAGCGTCTGGCACCTTGCAGTGATGTTCCGGCACGGCGCTGGTAAATACTATCATCAATTGCAGAGTATTTGCCAGGGCCACGGCACATATTAGGAGGTACTGGCGTTTCTGGTAGGTCCCAAACTCTCCAAGTATTACCAGGAGATCGTCGTAATGCATTGTTCACTTTGCATTGTTGAGTGGCCTAAGTCTTCGTACATGTAGGTCTAACAACCCTGAAAGATATAAATTCGTAAAACATTGGTTTCAGAATCAATTCATTTCATTACATGAGTAGACTTGAATTCATAATGCACTGTCAATTAACGGGCCTCTTTCTGGATACGGTTTAACTATTGCAATACCCTTTATGCAGTAGGCCCTACATGTATATCCAGACTGTTTAAATGGGGTTACGCAATATATTATTGCTGCCATAAAAGGACATCTAAGACACGTATATCGCATTTTTTTTTACCTCATACATTAATGCATATACACTCATGTAATCTTATTGGTGTAGCTATCACATATCGCAAAGTAGATCTTAACTGGCCTTACGAACAGTCCATTTGATGACATCGTTCACCCGTAATATTTAATTACATCAGAAATGGGGAAATATCAAGGGAGTTGATCGCATGAGACGGGAGTATATAGAAAGCCCCGGTATTATGTCTCTTTTACACACAATTAATTTAAGATAATATGTGAAGCAATTAACTACACGTCTTGGCTTTCTTCGTCCCATATGTGACCTATATACATTGTATATATATATAATACAGGTGCTGAGTTTACGATTGAGTGATCCTTTCGATGCACACTAAGGGTGCTTTCCCAGAGATTTAGATCGATCTAGAGGTTAAGATTTAGAACGACCTGACTCCCTGGGGGTTCACCCTAAATTGCAGTCAGCCGAGGGAGCACCATAGTTAATTACCCCCTTGCAGCTTTTAGTAGACAGACGCTTTAGCCGGCCAAGCTGACAGTAATCTAGTGAGACTCTCTGCAGGGATAGATCGATCTAAAAACTATGAAAATGGGGTGTAAAATTGACTTAGATTGCCATGACAGCTCCCTCCGTTCTAGCGCCCTCTTCATTTGCGGTCAACAGTTTTATTGAACTTCATGACCTACCTTTTACACCATCTATCCTTTTTGCGTATGTCAAGGTTTGAGACAAGGCGTTCTACCAGTATTATAATCATTCTTCGTTTTTGTGTGAAGGAATGGGTTCACTCTCCTCAATGTCCATACCAAAGTCAACATAAAAACAGTAATGGCGTTTCATCCTTTCCATTAATTGTCCCAACACTGAAATTTAAATATTTTGACTATATTGCCGTTACAGCTGGTTGCGTAAATAGCCATGTTTTGTGTCTTATACTGAGGCAAAAAGCAACCAAACCTCAGTTGCATCCAAGTTTTTTATGACCCCCTTTCAACTGTATTTCACTTATAACCTAACATATGGTCCTTTGCAGTTGTGTAATAATAGAGTTTTTTGTGTTATTCACGATCGAAATGAGTGTCAGTTTGAGATAGCAGAATATTCACCTGGCCAGCCCCTTTTTGCCAGTGAAAATGGTCCACGATACTTGAATGAGCATATTTGAGTCGAGAATGGTAAATTATCCCTACTTGGAATAGAAGTAGAGTCACTTCGCATGTATATATAGTTTAAGACCCGAGAGTGGTTGATTTATTTTGGCATTATTATGGATTTTTTATAATATACCTACCGAATAGAATGGAATTGTAAGACCTTTTCTAGATTTAAATAACTTAGATGCAGTCTAGGATAACTTAAGTATTTAAAAAACGACAAATCCTGGGACGTATCCTTTTTAATAGTTGTATAAAATTGGACAATATGACAAGTGGATCATTTCACATGATTTTGATTAAAAGTAATTGCATGGTGGTAAAGTATGTCTGTATACGCCTCTCCAAGAAGACTAGATAAATATGCCAAAAACAAAGACACTGTGACATTTTGACTTCAAGTAAAAGTTAACGATGCGTCTTAAATGTTAATTGATCCGATGAAGAACGTCTGATGCGTCGTGCTTGCTTTCTAGCGGTTTTTGTCTCCGCTAACGCAATAGTGTTCTTCATGTGCCAAAAATCGAGACTGAACGATTCCGTTACACTTTTATTCCATTTTTCCTTAACTGTCTATTAGACGTCCGTTTTCATTTTGAACTTAATTTGCTCTTAATCTAAACCCTTTGTTTTCTAATTTTTATTTGAATTTTGAACTTAAACCTTTCGGTTGCAATGGTTTTAAATAAACGTATAATTATATTATTATAAATACATACATACATTTGTCAGTACCCCTGCATTATCTGGAGGGGGAAGAGGGATGGATGGATGGGTGGGTGGGTGGGGGGAGAATGCTTTGACCAATGAAGGGGACCGGTGTGACGAAACTAAGGGTCCCTGTAACACAAAGTCCGCCCTCCATTCAGTTATAATGGTTAGGGTTAGCAAGACCTAAATGGGTCAGAATCTAAGGCAAGGCTTACCAGTAAAAATGAATGGGAGGCGGACTCTCTATCATCTCTATCGTCATGTTACACCGGCGTGCAGTGATTATGCAATTCAACAAGTTAATTTAGGTGGATATATATATGTACCATAATTTAGATGGATATACATATGTATATCACATCTGTGTATAATATATATATGTATCTGTGGCGTGTTCCTTACTAATAGGGAAACTTGTGACAGGACCTTACATTAATTTACTTCACGCAGTTATTACGCAACACGTCTTCTACACTGTAGGTACAAGACTGATATATATATATATATCAACCATTGCCACCTGCCTTCTGCTGTCACTCGCATTTTCTATTCTCTCACACAAACTTTTCTTTAACCAGTCGTTTTTGGTTAAAACTTTTGTACATGTTTGTTTGTGTGTTTAGACGTATCACAAACCCGCGCTGTTACACTCCAAGCTTAAAACAAAATAAACAATCCCCGTGTGAGAATAAAAAAAAATGGGTTTTATGTGTCCTTAAATAAAAGGAAGAGCCTTCTCGGTCACTTTCTTAAATATTCACCCTGGTGTGTTAATGGTTTTTTTTTTTCAATGATATTATTTGAAGCGTGTGATAAATGAAGTATATAGAATAAGATTTTAAAAAAAAAAGCGTCTGGCGAAACCGTTACTTTGATTAACGGCTTTGTGGTCAACATATAACGACCGACATTATAAAATTTTCCTCCACTGTAAACGAACATGAACCGGGCGAATCAAGGTGGGGGTTGAAACAAGAAGCCCTTTATCTAGACCCGCCGGAGAATACCTTCACGGATCCATGTATTGCTTTTCTGCGTTGCACAATCTAGAGCAACAGTTATAGACCCCATTTTCAGAGATTAGATCGATCTACTTTAGATCGACCTAACTCCCTGGGGGTTCACGCTAAATAGCTGTCAGCCGAGCGGACACGAAAGTTAATTACCCCCGTACAGCTTGTAGTAGGTGGGACGGACATTTAAGCCGGATTATCTGAAGTAATCTAGTGAGACTCCCCGCGGGGATAGATCGATCTAAAAGCTCTGGGAATACAGCCATAGTTAGCCATACTGAGAATTTTTTCCTGACATCTTGCTAAATACCAAACCTATTAAAAGTTGCTAACATTGCTTGGATGGGATAATGTAAAGTAATAACGTTACGTTTGTGCTCCTTCTCAAGTGTACGGAGACTTGAGGGCTATATCTCTGTCTCATATTTATATATAAGTATGTGTGGAGAGTCTCATGCTATATATATAGTAGTCCAATACGTGTATAGCTTACATGACAAGATGTGTGGGTCTATACAGATTAAAATATCGGGTTACTTACTTTAGCCCTGGCCTGCCATTACTACATGTACATGTAGTATTTCTTTACCACACAGAGCCCGTTTCAGAAAAGATTCATAAAATGGAGTTAAGTATCCAAGAAAGGAAATTGTGATCTTAATGGGTAGATAGACCATTTATTTCAACATCAGCAGGGAGTAAAAATATAGCAAAGTAATACAATGCATTACATATAGGCCTACAATCAAAAAAGGAAAAATTACATAATCACCGTTTATCCATGTAAGTGTCTCTAATATACCCAGTTAAGATGGACATATTCAGCAATGACATATACAACTAGAAAAATACTCCGTTTAATACATATACTACATGTACGTGACAAAACGTCGCATTTTGGGCTTGCTGTTCCACAGACATCCTACAGAGCAAAATTTAATTATAAGATTAATGATTTGGTCCGCTTCAATTCAAGATCAATATGCAAATCTTTGGATAAAGGAAATATCGTCTGAAAAATTAGCCATATGTCATTTGTCATAAAATGCGTATTGTTTTGTTTAATTAGACAAGTACTAATGCTTTATCGTGGGTTATGGTAGAAGTGGGCTAAAAATCAGATCAGTTTTCTGGCTAGCGCTCTTTTGCAAAACCGCCCCCTTTTTAACCGAGTAGGAGAGAATCGCTTTTGGACACGCTGATGGACACGAAGAACAATAAAGTTTTATACCGGGGGGTTCGTTCTTAGAGTACAGATCTTCTTTTGGTTGACAACGAAAAAGATGCAACAAAAATCATACGCTATAACACAATACCAGCATTACAGTCAGCAGCACTCCTTCACTGAATAAGTGGGCAGCTGGTGAGAATATTACATGTGTATTAGCGAGCTTTATAGCTAGCCAGCTGTACATTTGGTGTACAAGTAATATATCCTAGTATTATATCCTTTAATTACATTTGTTTGTAGATGAAATTATAAATAAACAGTAAAGTAAGTAATACCTATACCTGCAGCTATCAGGATTACATTTATTTTCCATTTTATATCTTCTTTTGGTACAACTCTTCTCATATTGCATCATTTAGTTTATATTTGTAAGAGTATAATATACAAACATCTTCTCTTGGCGTTGTTGTTATTAAACTATAATTATACAAATATAACCTTTCTGGGCATAACATTTTTGTTTTAATATTCTTTCTGTTAATATTTCTCACAGTTGTTTTGGTTAAGAGCTACACTGGCGGGACACAGTTCTTTCTTTATTAAATAAAGGTACTCTCGCTTCGCTGGGCAAATGTACGATAGTGGACAAAGATAATTTACCTTAACATAATTTACCGTTAGGGTCCAGGGATGGGAGTAAAGCTCGTTTCGCTTTGCTAACTAGTATCTTGATGATCATTATTAATGGCCTCTGTCCATTTAGTGTATGCATACACAAGAATACGTGCAGCTGTGTGTGCTATTTGTTTTCATGTGCTGTTATTTGGACTATCCCATCTTACCAAAGATCATCCAGGGCCCGTACTGACTCCCCCTTAAACGCGCAAGCAAAGTTAATGTTCTTTTCGCATCTTGGAGCACTTTTAACGCCGGGGTTCCAACGCCAGCGATCGAGAATACCGCTTATTGTGTCTGTATATTTGAGATATCAAAAGACTGGGCTCTGTAAAGGAGACGACGCTAGTTAGCGATCTTTAGAATTGAAGCCGGGTGTTGTAACGGACACAAAGACGTCGCAATGCACTTCGACGATCTTCTTAAGACTCTTGGAGAGTTTGGCACCTTTCAAAAGAGAAGATACGCCCTGTTGTGTATACTGAGCTTCCAGTCGGTAATGGCTACTCTGGGAATTGTGTTTTTTGGTGCTCAGATGGACCATCATTGTAAGGTCCCTGCTCACTACATAGACTGGGTAACACAGGCGTATGGAAACGTTTCACAGGAAGAACTTTTAAATATTACCATACCTCGAAATAAAGACGGGGAGAGAGAACAATGTATCTTGTATAGATTTGACAATGACACTCGTTTGGAGGCAATATACAGCATAGCAGATGGTCGAAACATAACTTCTGAATTTTCCCACAGTTTCGGAGCACTACATTTGGAGAGAAGTAACATCACTACAGAACCATGTCCAGAAGGAAGAATTTATAGCCAGGAACCGTTTAAGAGCACACTTGTTTCTGAGGTTGATACAGAAGTTGTTAAGACATTTTTATATTAAGTTTAAGTGATGTGAAGTGTACATTACTTTATTTTCATACCGTACAGATAAAATACTGTTTCTAAAAGGNTAGTTTTCTTTCTGTTAAGAGGTCGAACAAAGCATTCGATTGTTACCTGGTACAATGTACGTGCACCGTTCAGTTGTTATATGTATGTTCTAAATCCGAGATGGTAACTTATAACATTACCTATTTAATAAAGCATATTTATTAAATATTTTATGCAAAGTAATGAGAAATCTGTTTCTATTTTCAAGTTTGACCTGTCTTGTGAGAATGCTTGGCAACTGAGTACTTGCAAGTCAGTGTTGTTTGCTGGAAAACTTTTGGGAATCTTAGTGTCAGGTGTGATATCAGACAGGTAAGCAGCATACATGTTGTTATTTAAAAACATTTAAAAGAAATTTAGTGTTGTCCGTATGTTTTGTACACCTTTTGTAAGGCCAGGTTTAATTTTTGTTTTTCAGATTTGGAAGACGGCATGTGTTTTTGTTCGGTCAGGTTTGTCTGGCTGCGGCGGGGATCAGTATAGCGTTCGCTCCAAACATGCTGACTTTTTCTATTCTGTACGTTCTTCAAGGATCATGCGACTCCCTGTCCTACTTAACCATCTACACACTCGGTAGGTGCTTTCATTTGGTCTACGTATGACCAGTAGGTCAAGTTACAATTGCACATTACAGAAGCGTTGACACGGAACAGTCACGCCGACCATGTCCGTCAAATGTTAATATTATTTACGCGGCTTCACACCGAAAGCCTCGAAGACGTACATAGTGCAGTGTAAGGCGTATGGCAGCATTTGGAGTCGGTGGCTATAGAATCTGCATAAAGCAGCCTGATTTTTGTCAATCGGTGCAATTTCATGCATGTTACACGTGTCGCTAAATTGCACATGTATAATATAAGGTGTTAGGCATAAGTTCTACAGTTGCAGTTACTTTTGAATGGAAGTCCATGTTTATATCGAAATCGAAAAGTTGTTTTTATTTAAATGAAATTCTAAAATATAAAGTATATTTAATAAAAAATCTTCTTCTTCAAATTCATACCATATTCAAATACCATCTTACTCACCTGTTCAATAATGGATAAAATTTAATGCAAAAAATACTTCTTAAGATTTACAACTTCTTAACTTTTTACATTTGTTTCCAGGAATGGAGTTGGTAGGTACAAGTAAGCGACGTATGGCCGGCCTCATCATCGGAATGTTTTTTGGTTTAGGACACGGATTAATTGCACTGGAGGCGTACTTTATACACAACTGGCGCCATCTAGCGTTGGTGGCAAATTCACCGGCAGTGTTCTATACATTGTTTTGGTTGTAAGTCATTGGCGTTTTATAATTTATTTACAGTCAGAATTTGTAAGGCAACTCTAAGCATAAAGGGTGGTTTCTGTTCACCTTTGGTAAATTGAAACATCCAGATTTATATAGTTACATGTTTCTCATTTTATTGTTATGTTCTGCAATGCAATGATGACCGGAATATAATAAAGATGAATAGTTCTAAAACAAAGATTTTGATGGTAGTAAAAAGTGGAGAAAAAGTGAATGAAAAATCAAGTTTTCGTTGTTTTAGAAAAAACGCGTTGTGATACGTTTCTATTGCAGGGTTCTTCCAGAGTCGGTACGATGGCTGCTCGCTCATGGTCGACATGAAGAAGCAAAGGCAATCATTACAAGAGTAGCTGCCGTCAACAAGGTCACACTGGATCCAGATGTACTCGATGGCTTTTTGTTAAAGGGAGACCAGGAGAAGAGGGTGACGCACACTCCTGTTGATTTATTTAAAACTCTGAATAGGGCTAAAGTTACTCTGAATCTTGCATTCGTCTGGTAAGTAACCTTAATGAAATCCATAATTTTGATGTGGTTAGTTAATAGATTTTAATTTAGTCTACAATATAATATCTACTGGGAATAACTGATATCAATGTTTCTTATAGATTTTAAAGACTACACCTCAGGCAAACGTTATATTATACTACGCCCCTTTCACACGTTTTAGACCTATACATTTTCATAATCCAGGTTGGTGAACGCTTTGGTATATTATGGCCTCTCCTATGGTACTCAAGATCTCGGGGGCAACCTGTACCTCAATTTTACACTTATGGGCATGGCAGATATTCCCGGACAGTTACTTGCGCTTTTCATTTTGGATAGGATAGGGCGTCGAAAGATTCTGCTCATCTTTATGGTATTTGGTGGACTGGCATGCATTGTTGCTGTTCTCATACCAAAAGGTAAGTCTAAAATGCAATTCGATCAATGCTGTTTCCTCGAACATCAAATGCAACTTCAGAGACTTAATTCCTGATCATGGAAATGGTGTACTGAATTATGGATACAACAAGCTGTAAGGAAACGACTTTTAGTGTAGGGAGTGCTATCTTATGTCCCATTTGTCTAAACTAGGCCAGGATTACACAACACCGTAATGGCAATTACCGAGTGCACGTCTAGTACTGTGTTGAGTTCATAACTTGACGGAGTGCACACAATCAAAAACTTTTGATTTAAAGAAAGAAAAATTCAGATTTGATTCATTGTAATAATTGTCAAGATTCAACCATTTGTACATAGAACTACATTTTTCCGTGGACATAAGTAACCTTTTAGCAATTTCGGCCAATAGTTTAAAGTCTTAACACAAAGCACAAGTTTCAGGAAAAGTAATTCTTCAGTTTTGTTTGACTTCAATTAATAATCGACATCTTGCATTCCAGACCTGCAATGGCTGACTGTAACACTGGCTTTACTGGGGAAGATGGCAATAAGCACCTCCTTTGCTATCATCTATATTGTTACTAGTGAGATCTATCCCACTGTGATAAGGTCAGTTGCGTCTCCTTCCGCAACATAAAATAGTGCCTTTTGGTCTGGTGACTTTACTAGCCCGTACTAACTTGAGCATATCAAGCAATACGGTATTACATGCAAGCTGTAGCCAAATTCTCAACATGGTTACAAAATTGATTTTTAGAGTCTTCTAGTAGAGGTGAAAATGGTAAAATGTGCCTGTTAACATATTAGTGCTCAATAGAGTATATATACATGTATATATGAAAGTTGCGGATTGACTTTTAGACGTTTGTGTTGACTTAAAAGGAAGGTTGAAAAGTTATGGAGACAAATTAATTGAGTGCCAGGGCCATGTCAAGCAGTGTTTCTTATAACCAACAGTATTTCGATTTAGGTATAAGTAATATTATTGAGATGTTAACATTTTAAGTTAAGTTCCTCTTTTCTCATTCCATATACATTGTACCCGTACATGTATTGTACAACTTTGGAAAACCATTAAATGAAGCAAAATTTGCAAAATGCAGGGGTGTTATTGACGTTTGGAATGGTCTTTGCAATAATTTCCGAATCATAATGTAACCAGTAACACTATACTTGTACCCCAGGCAGTTTCCAATCCCTACCTGGAGATAATATTACTTATATGCGGTTCCACCTGCAGCATTCAAATTGGGCTGTTATGACTATGCAAGTTATTACGAATGAAAAGGGTTAAATTTCGATAAACCAGGAGCCGGGATTTCCCTGACATGTTGGAACTATCCCATGTGATATTTGATACCGTGTAATTTACAGGGTGTGTCTTAAGATGGGGTAGACATGCGGATATCGGAGTACATTGTACTTCTTAAACCTTTTGGATGAGAAATGCATGTACCATAAATAGAATACCGCGGGCACTTCAATTCAAAATAAAAGTTTTTTTCTTGATTTGCTATTGAGAAGTTACCGGCATTATGCACCTGAATTACTTACACTTACTAAAACTGCTTGGGGGGGGGGGGGGATTAATTATCGTTTAGCAACTTCAGTAAGCGTGTCAGATATCTAAGCCGCTTAAGCTGAAAGCAGTTTAGCGAGAAACCCCTTGGAGATATATCGATCCTGTGAACCCAGTCTAAGTCACTGTTTCTCATCATTCTTAATAAAGTTGTAATTGTTTTCATTATTTGTAATTGGTTTTAATATCAAATTGTTCGAATCACAAGGGACTATTTCTTTTCCTCAGGCACGTCAGCTTAAGCGTTCATTCCTCGGTTGCACGGTTAGGTGGTCTTTTGGCCCCTCAGATTCTCCTCTTGGAAACTATCTACAAGCCGCTGCCGTTCATAGTAATTGGGTTGTGTTCCGTGACCGCCGGAGGGCTGACGATGTTGCTGCCAGAGACCCTGGGAAAGCCCCTGTCTCAGACCATGGCCGCTTTCGACACGGTGATAAATGGAAGGTTGGTATTAACTGCTTCTTCATTTATTATCCTATTTTAATATTGAGGTAAACAGCTGAGGCATTGGGATTTTTGTCATAACATATATTTTATTTTTGCTCTTTAAGCTGTTGAATATGCACAAATACAAATGGTCAAATGTTTTTTTCTATATTTATCTCATTGGCATTGTTTTATAACGTTTTATTTGAAAGTATGTATCGTTATATATTGCAGTTCCAGAACAGCAATGCATCAGAAGCAAGAGGAGTGTGTCACTGATACCGACGTATAGAAAAGAACATTTTTTGGCAGGAAAATATTTCATTATGACTATTCAGCAGAAGAATTAAAAGTGGACTAGTCACCTTTAATGAATTTCTTCGTCATATCAAAGTGATAATGACGCTTATGGACGAACCAAACTAAGGTCATTGGTATCGATACTTGGAGAACAAAGTGTACATATATATATATCTAAAGACTCTGTGTGTCTTAAAGCTCATGAGTTAACTGAGTTTCATGACCTACTTTTTACACCATTTATCCTTTTTGCGATTGCCCAAAGTTCATTGCATGCATTATCAGTTTAAGTTTGGGGAAGACATTCTATAAAGCCTTATTCGCTTCGGCGTGAGGAAATAGGTTAACTCTCCTTAATGTTGATATCAAAGTAAAGATAAAAAACAGAATGGCATTGCATTCCTTTCTTTAATGATTCAAAAATCGCAATTTAAACAATTTTACTACATATTGCCGATACGGTTGGATGCGTTATGACCATAGTCTAAATGCGTAGTAATGACGCAGAAGGCAACCAAAAGTCAGTTGCATTCAAGATTATTCCTCTCTTCTGTATTTCACCATACCTTGCATATGATCCTTTACAAGTGTGCAGTAAGATACAAACTGTTCTTTATGAAATACGTCCATCCAGACGAAATTTGAGGTTCCAGAATATTCACCTGACAAGCATCTATTTCGCTCGTGAAAATAACCCTAGTTACTGAATTAAAGCCATATGAGTTGAGAATGTTTAAATATTCCTACTTGCGTTAAACAAAGTTACATAATTTCTTTGGTTTTGTCATGTTTTATTGTCATGCTGATCATCATCATCATTAATAATAATAATAATAAAAATAATAATAATAACTGTAATAGAAGGTTTAAAAAAAAATACTCATTAAGAGGGAATTATTTTACGATCTCGGGTTTAAAAAAGATCAAATAGATAAAATAATACCAGCAAAATAGACGGAAAAGTAAACAGAATTTGGTAAAATAGTTATGAAGTGGTTGGATAATTTTTTAAAAAACCGTTTGCTTCCTATTACCATTAGCCTCAAAACACAGCCTATATTCCAAAAGACGGCTAGACGGCTTACAAAATTTTTGGCATGGTTGGGCTTGCTTGGCGACTCCGGAACTATATTCAAATGGATGACCATGCATTTGAACATTGAAACTGATGCTTCTCACAAGTTTCTTAGTTATGCCCACTTGAATATCAACCGCAATGTACTGACGGCCATTTTGGATTTTGGCACTTTGCCATGGGTGGATTCCGGGAGGAAATTATTCTTCCATTCATATTAATTGAACTGTTATTGGACCAAATTCAGTTGAAAAACATTTGTAAACATTTCTTTCAACTACGATGGGAAACTTCGTTCGTTTACTCTGCTTCTTTACAACGCAAAGATAATTTGCCGATTAAGAACCCTAGTTTAACCCTTGCGGTTTGTTTGCAAAATGGTGTGAGTAATTATTCATGATGTAGTAATTAGGCTATTTGTAAGTACCTTCCAACTGCATGAGAAGTCTCTGGTAAGACGACGCAATGCACTTCGACGATCTTCTCAAGACTCTTGGGGAGTTTGGCACCTTTCAGAAGAGACAATACGCCCTGATATGTATACTGAGCTCCTTGTCAGTCATGGGTACGTTGGGAATTGTGTTTTTAGGTGCTCAGGTGGACCATCATTGTAAGGTCCCTACTCACTACATAGACTGGGTAACACAGGCGTATGGAAACGTTTCACAGGAAGAACTTTTAAATATAGCCATACCTCGAAATAAAGACGGGGAGAGAGAGCAATGTATATTATATAGGTACGACAACGACACTCGTTTGGAGGCAATATACAGTATAGCAGATGGTCAAAACATAACCTCTGATTTTTCCCACAGTTTCGGAGCACTACATTTGGAGAGAAGTAACATCACTACAGAACCATGTCCAGAGGGAAGAATTTATAGCGAGGAACCGTTTAAGAGCACACTTGTTTCTGAGGTTGGTACATAAATACAGTTATTATTTAAAGATCTTTTCTGTATAAGTTAAGTATATCACCATCTCGAAATACTCTATCTAAAGTAAAATTCTTCCGGCCAATTTGTGTAATTGGATATCAAACGAAACGTTTAATTGTTACGTAAACCGTTAGGTTGTTATATGTATGTTCTGATGCAGTGATGGTGCGTTATGCTAATTATGAAGGTATATTAAAGGTTTAATGCGAATTAATGAAAAAATATTTTCCATTTTTAGTTTGACCTGTCTTGTGAGAATGCATGGCAACTGAGTACTTGCAAGTCAGTGTTGTTTGCCGGAAAGCTTTTGGGAATGTTAGTGTCAGGTGTAATATCGGACAGGTAAGCAAAGCGTGTATGTTGTCATTAAAATTATAACTTAAAAAACAGTAAGTTTTGTCCACATTTGTTTCGTGCAACTTTTGTAAAGCCAGGTTTAATTTTTGGTTTTCAGATTTGGAAGACGACACGTGTTTTTGTTCGGTCAGCTATGTGTGGCTGCTACCGGGATAAGTTTGGCGTTCGCTCCAGACATGCTGTCTTTTTCTGTTCTGTACGTTGTTCAAGGATCGTGCGAATCCCTCGTCTACTTAACCATCTACACACTTGGTAAGTTGTTACATTTGGCCAACATAAGATTAGTAAGTCAAGTTTTAATTGCGCATTACAGAAGCGTTGACATGGAACCACCGCATCGAACATGTCTGCGGCAAATGTGAATATTAACTACGTCTTCACACATTTAAGTTTATCAGAGCATTTACAAAGAGGTAAAATTATGTTCAGTACAAGGTATAAGGTCTAGGTTCTAAAGATGCAGTTACGTTTGAAATCGAATAGGAAGTCCATGTTTATATAAAAAATTGAACAGCTGTTTCCAGTTGAATGAAGTTCTAAAATACAGGTAAATTTAACAACAGATATCTCTTCTTATTCAATTCCATATCATATTTAATACCATATGACTCAATTGTTTAATTATATGTTTTAATGCAGGAAGATCGTTGAAGATTTAAAACTTCTTAACTATTTGCATTTGGTGCCAGGAATGGAGTTCGTAGGTACAAGCAAGCGGCGTATGGCCGGCCTCATCATCGGAATGGTTTTTGGTTTAGGACACGCTTTACTTGCACTGGAGGCGTACTTTATACGCAACTGGCGCCATCTAGCGCTGGTGGCAAATTCACCCGCAGTGATCTTTGCATTGTTTTGGTTGTAAGTCTATTATTTAAATCTCCATTGTAATTATTTATATTATTTATATTGTAACTTATATTACAATATAAATAATTGTAAGGCAACTCTAGGCATAAAGGGTGTTTTCTTATTAACCTTAGGTAAATTGAAATATCCAGATTTATATTGTTATCTAATTTTATTAAATCTCAGATGTTATGGTCTACGATGCAGAGACCATACAACGTTTCGCTGTCAGTGTGGATCGCAATATAATAAAGATAAAATGTTCTGGTGCTTACATTTTGATGAAAGAAAGTAGATAAGTAAGTCTTCAATGAAACGATTATTTTTCATTTTCTCAGCAAAAACACGTTATCTATAAATACGCATTCATCGCAGGGTTCTCCCGGAATCAGTACGATGGCTGCTCGCTCAGGGTCGACATGACGAGGCAAAGGCAATCATTACAAGAGTAGCTGTCGTCAACAAGGTCACACTGGATCCAGATGTACTCGATGGCTTTTTATTGAAGGGAGACCAGGAGAAGAGGGTAACGCACACTCCTGTTGATTTACTGAAAACCTTGGATAGGGCTAAAGTGACACTTAATATCGCTTTGGTCTGGTAGGTTGAGCGTACGTTATGCTTTCCAATGAAATCCAGCAATTGATATGGTTGGTAATAGGTTTTATTTTGACATGTAGCATAAAAAACTACTGGTAATAAAAAACATCTATATATTATAACTAATATCATACCGGAATGATTTCTCGTAGTATGGGAATTATGTATTATATACCGACCGGAAGCCCTTGTGGTTAGAGTGTCCGCCTCCGGAGCGGGAGGACGTGGGTTCAAAACCCGTCCGGGGACATACCAGTCCTTTATAAACGGTACCTTCTGTCTCCCCGCTTGGCACTCAGCACTAAGGGGTTGAAGCAGGGTCCTGGTCAGGCAGAGAACGATATTGTAAAGTTTGATAGCACTCATACGGCAGCGGGGCTGTATCCTCCCCAGGGAGGCGAGATTGTGTACACAGCGTGTTTTGACCATTTGTATACTTGTCATATGTATGTAAATATTTGTTAAGTCTAACGAACATATTCATATGGAGTTTAGACTTAAATAAATGTATTATTATTATTTTTTTTTTTATAAGAAACTTGACAAAGCAAGTCTCTAGCATTTACGAACCTACACGTTTATTTTCCAGATTGTTGTGACTAGACTTCATAGAGTATTTGTCAATTTTTTATTACGATCAATTCACTGAACACGTTTTAGGTCTTACATTTTCATATTTCAGGTTTGTGAACGCTTTTGTATATTATGGCCTCTCATTTGGTACTCAAGCTCTCGGAGGCAGTTTTTACCTCAATTTTGCACTTATGGGCTTGGCTGAAATTCCGGGACAATTTCTGGTGTTATTCGTTTTGGATAGGATAGGGCGTCGAAAGATTCTTTTCATCTTCATGGCAATTGGTGGACTAGCATGTGTTTTTGCTGTGCTCATACCGAATGGTGAGTCCAAAATGCAATTAAAATACCTCAAATATCATATACATCTTCAGTTTCTAGCCAATCATTGGAAAGGAGTATTCTGGTGAATGGTGTACAGCAGAGAACAGTTGTAAAAAACGACGTTGAGGTTTAGAGAGCCAAATAAATCATATGCCCCAATTAACAATTACAAAACACCGTAATGACATTTACCAAATGCGCCTCTATCAGCCTAGCTTAACGTTAATAACTCCTCGGAGAGCATATGTAGTCTTTTGAGCTTGAGAGCATGTGATCGAAAATATTTTTGATTCAAATAAAGAAAAAAAATCAAATATGATTCACTGCAATAATTATCAAGATCCTTGCGTCTCATTTAATTCATCATTTTGAACATATAACTACGTTTGGTCGTGTCTTTTGGCATTTGAGCCATTCTTATAATTACAGGGCATCACAAAAAAAAAAAAAAAAAA